TCCCCCCCCCTTTTATGATTTTAGAACAGCCATTGGTTTACATAATTTTGGGCATTTCAGGCTGTCTTAAAATACTGAATTACATGACAGATCGAATCAGTTTTGGTCTTTAACTTTCTAGTTCTCACTGTCTGTCAGCTCTTTTTTGTTCCAAGTTCAAAAATTTGCTTATATAATTCCAGAGAAATACTGTCCTATGTTTAAGTTGTATGAAATTTTTATCTTTTTTATGAAGATTTTTTAATCGTTTCTGTTATTACCAGGTTTGAAGAAGAGCAAGTCCAAGCAGGGGACATTTCTTGTTGGAGATGACACCAGTAAGACAGAGGATATCACACCAGAAGAAGTGGAAGAACTTCAAACCAAGTAATTTTTCTACGTTTCTATAAATTTCATGTGTTGAAATATTTACCAATCACCATACTTATATATTACTTTTATCTAACCCAATTTGTTGGATTATTGACTTTTTTTGCATTTTTAATATTATAATAGCAATATCAAAAAGGTAATTATCCATTCTCATAAGTACAGTTGAATATAATCATTTATGGATATATTAGACTGTACAAAGTAAATTGTGGTGGTCATTTCACTTATTTCTGTTACGTCTTCTTTTTTTCTTTCAGTCTTGCAATCCAGAAGGATGAGAACGAGGCACTAAAGGCCACCCTTCAAAGTACGCTCCAGGCAAAGGAGGAAGATTTAAATCTCTACTCACAAATGATGGAGGAAACCAAGAAAATATTTCTACAAGGACTAAGACAGTACAGGCAACAGCAGTCTTAGCATACCTAGGAAGTTATATGCTGTGTCAGTCCAAAGAGGAACTTATTCTAATTTAGACCAATCAAAGCAGGTTTTATAAACCACAGGAAAAGGGTGATGGTACATATTGTGTACTTTTTTAGGGCTGGTGTCATTGTTAACTTAAGGAAATATTTGCAGTTTTATCCTACCTGGATGACTCCGCTTGATGGCATTTTGGCATCACACGTGTATGATATTGGTGTTACTGTTACCTTTTCATTTCTTAAATTTTTAACTTAATTTACTATTTTTGATATCTGGAGTTTAGTTGTTTTAATACATATATACAAATTCAATATCAGTGGGATTTCTATAGAAATTCTGATCTACAACTTCCGTCCAAATAGTTACCGTCCTTCGTATTATCACATTTCATTATCATCAGTGTAAAAGCAGTTAAATGTTTACCAAAGATTTGACATTTTGCATAATTTATTCCAAGGCTTTGAAACTTTACCCTAAGTTTCAGAGATAACTAGAAACACACCAAGTCTTGTACTCTGGCAGATAATTTCTTGTTATCTGAAAACTCTGGGTTTGAAACTTGGAAGGTGTTACATTCCAAAGTGACCAAAACTTTCCAGAGTGCATGTTTCTTTATAACTATGTTCAACTTGATTTTTCCTAAGTTCAGGAGTGTTTTTAAAAAAATTAAAAAATATACATATTTGTTGACACTAGTTGTTGCTTTCTTTGTTTACTGTCCAGTGATGACAAACTGTACTTGCTAAAAATATAACTTAACGCAAAAAGTGATCATTTCCAACCACATAATATTATTTATTTAAATGATAAATCAGTGCAAAACTGAGTGTAAAAAAAGAATACAAATCTTTCTGATGCAATCATTTGCTCTTTTATATCAAACAGCATCAACTGTACACAGAGTACATATGTGTGTGCCTTGTCCGAGCATTTTTTATTTTACAACCTCCATAATCCAACAATCTAGTGCATGTGACAAAATAGTCCATTAAATATCCATGCTACCACAAATATCTCCATCCTTGTATGTCTCTGCTCTTGCTTTCTTGTAATGCTTTATCACATTTCAAAACTCATGACTAATGTTAAATGTGTCACATTAATGATTGCAGGCAGTTTTTGGTCTTGATGAAAACTACACAAAGTTTATTAGCATCCTTTTAATGGTTCTATGTCTTCATGGGCTCTTCCTTGTGTCCTTGTTTCTCCAACTCTGCCCTGAAACCACAAATAAAATATTGAAAAGTATACTATCTGCATCTCCTCAACTTATCATCTTATAACAGGGATGAGGCTGCCATTTAGTCAAAAAGTTGGAAAATATGGTGCGAGGTCCAGGGAGCTGCCTAGGCCAATGATATTTTTGGCTCCCAAAACGTCGGAAATATGCCAATAGTCAGGAGAAAAATCTCATGCCTGTAATAAGTTAATTTCTCTATATATCCTGCAAAGCTACTAATAATTTCCCTATTCAGGTCTTTAAAACAACAATCTCCCAAATGTACAAATTTTCTTCTGAAATGCACAGGAAAATATGGGGGTGTAAGTGACTGGCCAGTCAATTAGAACTACATTATTTAACTAAAAATCGTATAAAACATTGAATCCAAGTGCAAGCCTAGGCCAGGTTGAGCAATGATTCATGAATGCAAGCAGGTTGGCACCATTTATCCAGAACATCCTAGAGCAACAATAACATTCCTGAAGGGGGGGGGGGTACTTACCTGAGCTGTTGTGAGAAATCGTCCTCCACATTATCATCATCCCAGTTATCTTCCCACACATTTTCTTCTTGTGTTTCTTCTGCTTCCGTCCAATCTAGTAAAAAATATATATGTTATTGTAGCATTTCACAAAATGGCTGGCCCAAAATTAATTTAACTGATGTGAAAGTTTCATTTAACTAGGCAATTTTCACATCCAGATAAAAACCAATGTCAGGGAAGTAGAATTCAAAGTTGTGCCCAAAAAATTTGCAGGGAGGGTTCATACAGCAACATAAAGAACGACGACTTTGAGTCTCTAATTCAAGAATTTTCCTATGACACTTTGAATGCATATATACTGAACTACTGTCATTTATAAAGGTACACCAGAGAAAAAGGACTTATTTTATTTAAAATTAACATTTTAACATACTGATAATGCCATATAAAAAGAATAAAATTAAATGACATCCAAGAAGGGTATTCTCCGTGTAAAATTGTCTTTATTTCTAGAAAAACTACAAGACTTAAAACATTTTTGGACAAATTGCATACGGAACAAATTCAGCTACTTTTCAAAGACACATATGGGGCAATACAAGCCAGTTTCCAGGCTAACAGCAATCCTAAGTACTTTTCATAGCCAAAAACTGAATTCAGGATGCAGGGCTAGATAAATGCATTTTTCAAGACTATGAATACTGGCTGTATTGGTAATCAAATTGGTCAAAGAGCTTGAAGGTTTAATAATTAAAAAAGAATGAAATTTGTTGATGTTGCAAACTAATTTACTTGAATATCAGAGACATTAATCATAGTCACCATTGTGACCAAATTCAATTTTGGTTATCACTTAGTATAAGTGTTTTTGAAGAGAATAACTTTTAATGGTTTTGATTTTCAATTTTTTTTTAAACTGAATTCTGGTCTATGTAAGTCATTTCCATAACAAAAGTATAAATAACATTTCTTCAATTGACTTTTATGGTGTCATAAATCACATTATGCAATTAACATCAATTGACTAATCAAGAAAACAAGGCACTTTCGCATCCCACCTTTCCCTCTCTCTCTCTCTCTCTCACACACACACACACACACACACACACACACACACATCTTAATAATTTTAAAGTTAACCAAATTATGTGGTGACTTTGATCAATGTCTCTTCTATTCAAATAAATCAGTTTGCTCGAAAACGCATTGTCACCGTTCGCTGTCAAGAAGCCGGTCGGTTCCTCGTGTTAACAGCACACGATTTACTCCTATAAAAAAGCCAAAACGTGTGTAAAATAATTAGTCATTAAAAAAAACAGACTTTTTCACTTCCTTATTTGATTAAATCGTCTCACCATCTGTTGGAAACTCTTCAAATTCGTCATCTTCTTCAAGAAGTCCCAAATCAACTTTCTTTTGGGGTTGGTCGGCCATTTTGTTTGAATGCCTTCTCAAACCTTCTTAACCAGAAGAGTTAAATTTCAAGATGAGCCAAAATCAAGGTTTGGGGAACGACAAACGTTATAAAGCATTAATATTAAAAGATTAATATTGCTTATTTATTTATTTATTTTGTTAGATTTTTGTTATTCCCACAGACACAAAAACACACACAAATTAAAGCAATAATAAGAAGGGGGCTACAGCCGTGTACTAAAACGGCCACAGGACAAAAAGGCCTACTGTCAATCACACTGATCACGATCAAGCTGATATCAACTACTGCAATACCGACTAATTGTATTCAAGATCCGCTGATCCCGAGTTAAATCAAGTTGTGTAAATCAAAACTACATGCACGATGGCCACATAACCCTGCGGTGCGATTGGTTCTACAACAGACATCACATATCCGCATGGCGTATTACCTGCATTTGTAGCTATCACATTTAAACAAAGACACCACCTTAACGTAGTAATTAGAGACCTCTTGAAATTATTAATGGACCTACGGTAGGCTTGGTTCTACAATAGACGTCACATTTCCTCAGGTCGCCTTACCTGCATTTGTATCAGATTAAAACGTAAATCAAGGTGCTAGATAGCCTACCCAGAAATTTCAGGGTAGAAGGCCTGGTAATAAGGACCCAACTGCGTTTTATTATAAAATTCATTATATGTTTATGATTATTATTATTATTATTTTGTTGTTGTTGTTGTTGTTGTTGTGACACTTAAATAAAAACAAAACAAGATATAGGCCACTGAAAATAAACAACTTTTTACCATAGGCTAATCAGAAAATGATCTAAATCTCATTGTCACTACCAGCAAGGTAGGCCCCTGTCACAAGTACAGTGGTATTTCTTGACCAAGTTAGGACATAGATTATTTAACGACTTAATGAGCGAAAAGAGAATGAAATTTCATAAAAGAAAATATTCAAATGCAGCTGCCTTGTGTCTTGTCCCTATAGCAAGGGATATATATATAGCAAGTAGGCTACCCGGTACCTGCCGTAGGTTTTCGGTTGAGTCATTTCTCCTTTGATCAAACCTTATTCTATTAACCTTTTTAATAGCTGAAGAGTTCGGTTACGTCCTAGCCATTCTAAATGAAAAAAAAAGTGAATAAACAGTTGTTGACGGCGAAGGTGACGTCGTCTGTGTCGCAATCGGTGTCGTGAACAGTTACTGTGTTTACCAAAAATTATCAGCATTATCTACATAAGGAAGCAAGTGTCCGCAAACCGAAGGAAGGAGATCAGATTAATGTGATAACGATAAGCCACATCCGAAGATGGTTTTGCCATAGAGTATACATGCACTTGAAAGAAAATTACACGTAAGCATTATCCAGGAGACTAGCGGGTCCGGGATTTTGCTAAGGTGGGGGTGGTCGTGGGGGTGGAGGAAATGGGGACACCTTTACAAAAGTAAGCCTCTGCAGGGTATTGGGGTGGAAAAACTAGTTTGCTTATGAAAAAACCGATTCTAATACTTGTGACGACTCAAAATAAGTTCACCTGAAGAAGGCCTTGTGATATAAAGTCGAAACGAAGTGATCCCCGTTTCATTGTAAGATCCAGCTTTAGAAATGAATTATCTTAGTCTAATATAAATAAAAAATTCACTTAAAATTGCTTGGTTTTGTCTCATTTCGTTTGGCTCATTGTTATTATTGTTTTTTATTCCGATTGTTTTTTTTTTTGTTTTTTTTCGATTTTTGGTGTGGGCGGGCGGCAGAGGTACCTCAGAAGCTAAGGGAAGAGCAAGTCCCAGTCGCCATTGCCAGAATACTGCTAACAACAGTATCTACTTGGACGCGTTGGTCGTCCTCCAGATCTTGGACATAATAACGTAATTTTGTCCATGTCCAGATCACCAAAGCCATGTTTGCAGTTTCATTATTGTTTCAACTCCATCACTGCGTCACCTGGCGTGGGCGGTTTCAGGGATTGAGATGGAGAATATAGAAGCTTATGTATGAAGAAAAAGAAGAAAGGAAGAAATTAAGTCAACAATAAAATTGAAATTATGGAATGAAGAACCTTATGCACATTAAATGGGTCCAAGGAAGGACCAAAGAAATAGAATAAAGAATGAAAATAAAAATGGATGAATGAAAATTAAAGAAACAAATAATGAATTAAACTCGAAAAAAGTTCTCTCGTTGACAGCAATGCTCAACGTCTTTATTTATTTTTTTTTTACTTGTATGAGAGTAAAGACCCAAATGAAATGATTTTTTGGAAAAAAAATTCACAGCCACCAGTGCTCATGTATAAAGTTGTGAGACTAACCCAAGAGTGACATTTTAAATGTATTACTCATCACTCAATAACTTCTCTTCTATGTATACTTATGATTTTAATTTTGACAACAGGCCCTGAAGCAAGAGTTTGTTGAGTGCACTGCACATGCTTTTCAATGAGGTCCTAAAAGAAGTACAGAGTCGTGAGTTGAAATATAAGCACCCAGGAATATTTCTGGCTGTCAACGCCCACCGTCTAGAACGGGATAAGAATTTTCGTGACTTATCACAAAGTGAACCTCTGCATTGATTAAAAAGAGTTTTTGTCGCTGTAGGTTTCTATTCTCCGCATGGAAATACGTATAACTATAATGCTAGCTGAAATTACGTCTTGCATCATTAGTGAAGTTGATGATGTAACTTCCAAAAATTCACATTTCAAAAACTTTTTATTCGTTTAAGTTTGTGCTGAATAAATAAATAAATAAGTAAATAAATAAATAAATAAATAAATAAATAAATAAATAAATAAATGAAATTGCTCAGAGAGCAAAGCAACTTGCGAAATTGCAAAGTTAGTTTTTAAACCCTAACACATGAACAAAATTATAAAGTACATAAATGGGAGCCATTTGGTATATAATATATCATGCTTGAATCAACATATGGCTGCATTATTATTAACAGTTTTCTACTTGTATGCAATATCGAACAAAATTAATAAACAACACAAATGATAAACTAATAATTACATGTAGCTATTAATTAATTAATAGATTAAATAATTATCAACAAAATTTAATCATTTCTTTCTTGGCCCATTTGTTACCTAGCCCGAACATTTTATTAATAGTTTATTTATTTATTTATTTATTTATTTATTTATTTATTTATTTATTTATTTATATGATTGACCATCGTCAAAATATTATTATTTCGTCCTTCGTCCCATCCTGAAAATTTAATTAATTAATTGATGGATCATCACTAAAATCTAACTAAGTCTTCCTTGGCCCTTTGTGACTTATCCTGAAAATTTCATCCAAATACGTCCATTACTAGCTGATGAATGCTGTCCACATGCAATATGTAAAATAATAAGAATCATCCAACCTCAGGGATATCCCTACCCCAAGGGGCCACGTTCATCCGTGATGAAGGTCTGCCAATACCCAAAGACTGAACTTCCTCATTATAATGGTCTAGGAGGAGTGGACAGAAATTACAATTTGAAAAGAATTAAGAGTCAACCACCCAGCGGACAGGTTTATCCCCAGGGGCACGGATAATCCTTAGTGTCCAGACGCATTTCGCTTTATAATTCCATTTATACCGAAATTTTATCACTCAAATTGTATAGGAGGAGATAGCAAAAATTGCAATGTAAAAAGAATTAAGAATCACGTCCCTCCCAAGAGACAACCTAACCCCCTGTTGCACTTAAATCAAATCAGTTCATTCCGGTTGTATTATCTATCTACAAAAATTTTTGAAACAAAAATCTCTCAAATTGTGGCCGCTATCGCCGGACAGAAACTAACCGCAAACAAACTCACAAAACGCAAACGAGCAATAAACCTGAAAAATTTTCTTCCTCGAGTAATTAATGAAGCAGATGTTAAGGACCAATGTGTGGTCAAGTTGAGGAGTTGAGTGTACTTGAGTTCCAGCTGTATGAGACACATTAGCCAATTTGGAACTTACTTAGTGGCTTTAGTAAAACTCTCCACAATTAGTCAATGCTTAACACGTGAAGAATTATCAGAAAGTTTGATGGTAAACAGGTGAAGTGCACCACTGTCGTACGACATCCAGACCGTTTATGGCTCCTCTCGTGTTGCTGTCATCAACTGAGAATATTTAAACTTTTCAGCTCTCAGTGCAAAAGCATCCAAAAAATAAAAAAAACTGCCATTTTGGAAAGCTGTAAGATTTTAAAACGTATTTATTAAAATCGTCACATCAATGCTTGCGTTTGTTTAGAAAAAAAGTTTCTTGATAAATTAAATCAGGCCGAGACCAAAAAGGCTGCACCGAAGTACTGTAGCGACATTGATAAACACAAATGGATTGATGACTTTCTTAATCATTTAGAGTCCATGCTAAGACAAGAGCATCTAAATTTCTGCTTTCAAAAGCTCTTCAAGAGCAAATTTACCTGGGAAGTATGAAGTACGCGTGTACCAACTGATTTGCTGTATTGATGATTCAAATAAGGGCGTATTAAATCTCTTTGATTGCTTTTGTTCATTTTTTTCATCTGATTTTTTTTCATATGCTTCTGTTGAGCATTTTTGCATTATTTGACTCTAAAATTACAGCTTTGAGGTTAAGCGCAAACAATCAACTACAGATATGCTTCGTGGAAAGTGCTTTAAGAACAGGATGAATAAAAAAAAGCGCCAACTGGTAAACTTTCTGTCAAAAATATATTCCTTTTTCGTTAAATACATTTCAAAGGCCAACACCTTTTTAAGATCTGTTAGCGGGTTTTGTTCCCTTCTATTTTTCCGACTATACTACGATAATTTAAGGGGATAAAAAGCCAGTCTGTATTATGTATATGTCATGATCTGTGCATCGCGTGATTACAAAAGCAACACGCTACCTAGAACATATACCAATCAAAAGTTATAAATAACTTATTCTAACACACTCTGTGTATTAATGGACCGTCAAACGCGGTAGTATTCTAACCGCAACTCTAACCTCAGCCAATAGGGAAGTTTTCTGAAAATATTTGTATGCCAACACCCGCTGATAATATAAT